AAAAGGGAACACAATTAGACTATTAAGGGTAACAGAATAAATAGCATGTTACTTCAAATAGAAAGCAGGGGAGGACAGTGATAAAACATCATACTTTAAACACTGTTTATGGTTATATTGCGATTAACATTGATTCAAATCCAATCCAATCCAAAAATCAAACAATAAAAACATAAATAACCACTTTATATGTCAACATAATGGAATATTTCAAAGAAGCTTAATTATATTTGTAATGCAACAACTCTGTTAGTTCTCATTAGTACTCAGTGTTCTTCTGTCGTCTGTAATATGTTGCTTTTATTCTGGAGAAACTCTTTGATCTTAGAGATGGTACTGCTGATGAATACAGTGATTTTAGACCTGATGATGACATTGAAATCAGAAACCACAAACTATTGAGTCATGCCAGAGTTGCAACTACTGTGAGTGCATTCCAGTTATTTAAAGTGGTCTTTTTTAAAAATAAATAACATTTTATTGCCTAAATAAAACAGTAAATACATTTCTGTGATTATTTTGAAAGATAGCACTTCAAGAGAAAACACATTAAATATCACCAATAAAGGAATCCACATTTACACCCAACCTACCTATGAAAAACAATAATTCTCAATAACAATAAACTGCAGGTCCAAATTATAGAAAATGTATATAGTATATTCATACATTTGGCTGTTTTTCTGACAATTTGGATTTAGATTAAGTTAAACAACTGTCATGACTCATCATTTTCAAAAATCGTGAAAGGTTAATATTGTCCTGATACAGTACATACTGCAACCACTTATCTGTCCTCTACGTCATCTATCAAATCCTCTTGAAACTACAGTCTTTAGAGAAAATATTTATGCTTGATAACATGCTCTCAGATATTTTTAAAGTTTGAAGTCAGAATAACTTTGGCTGTGCTGTATATATTGCATAGGACTTTAACTATCTGTAATGCCACTAATCAATGCTTTCACTGGTCACTGACTTATTTTAACAGTGTCTTCGCTACGTTAAGTTCTTGAACTTCTAACAAAAATAACAGATGGGACTTGATATCCACACTTGTTTCTGCTCTAATAAAGATGCATTCGGGATGTAAAGACTCATGATTACTGTAGGTCAAGAGCAGAGCTTGGGCACTCACTCAGTGGAGAATATTAGAGACACTATTGCTGCAATACATTTAACAGGAGTTACAGTATGTGACATTACACGTCAGAGAGAAAATAAATAGAAAAGCAAAGTTACCATTATTGCAGTTCACCATTATCGTTGTGCTCTGTTTCTGAATGAGTCACTTTTGATGCTTGAGTTATACTTCAAGGTAGCAATTTCCATGTTTCTTTTTTTCTAGACTTACAGTTCCGTTGCAGAAGTAAAGAAAGGAGCTGTGCCCTAATGTTATTTAATTTAAAAAATATAGATTACTGCATTCACTATTTAATATTGAAACATCAGAGAGTGATTAAATAACACTTTAAAGTAGGTAACATGCAGTACTGTAGAATTATGTTTTAAATACTTCATATTCTTAACTATTAAGACTATTTAAAACACATTTAAGTCAGGGACTTTGGAGGTTTTCTCTTATTGAAAAACATAGCATAAATAGAATTTCCACATTGCAAATCCCACCCATAAAATACATGAAACATACATTGAGAAACTGCTAAAATAAATGATACGTTGCAGCATTAACATCATCAGCATAGGCCCACAGTATTTTCTCTTCAAAAAGTCCTTCGTGTTTTCTTAAAATCAAGATGTGAAAGGAAATAATCTGGTCTGCAGCCCACAATTGATGGTGGGTGAGCACTATTCCATGATGATTGGATCCTATACAGTATGCTGTACGTACAGTATATACTGTATTCTTTTACAGCCTAGGTGTAAATTCCAGTGTAAATAAGATTTTGCTCCCTTGACCCTGATAGTAAAAAGCAAATCAAATATACTGTTCAACCAAAATATTTGAGATTACCCCTAATGGCCATTTGTTCTTCCTCTCATAATCATAACCACTATATTGTATGTTAACGAGTGTTATGGAGATAGTTATGGTGTCACAAGACATCTGCTGTAGTCCCCTAGTTTCCCTATTCCCCTAGTAATTTTTTGCGTATTCTGAATTATGCTTTTCATGGGTGTTTTTTAATCTTCCAACCACCGCCCACAAATGTTTGAGGCTCTCTGAATTAACTCAGAGATTTAGCTTGTTTTCCAGATTCACCGCTGCCTTTGTTGATACCAGAGGCATCTGTAATATTACATTCCTCAAACATTACGGGACATACTGAGCACCAGACCATAACCACTACTTTTGACTGTATGGGTCACTCCCATGAAACCTCTCTCTCTCTACAGCAGTGTATATAATGAAAATCATACTTGATTTTAAATCAAAAGAGCTTCAATCCAGACGCAGTGAACACCTAGTGTAAAAACTTCCAAAAATGTCACATGACAAGAGTGTTTTGAATATGGTATTTCCTTCTAATATAAAAACTAAATGATCACTGCATTGCTGCCAAATTGTTATGAGTATTTCTCTGATCTGCGATGCATGCTAACTGATCTCCCAGAGCTTGTCCCATAGGTGGTGTCAGTGTTCCACGTTCAAACACGCGCTGGCTATTTCCTGAGGAAAAATGGCAGCTCAAAGTCAAGTGCTATTTAAAATGTAAAAATAACCACAAACAGATGCTAACTGATAAATCAAATTATTGTGTTTATTTTCACAAAAAAAGCAGTCTTACAAATAAAAAAAACACATTTACTTTTTTGGCAAGGATAGAAATTACAAAGCGAAAAATAATAGCAGAGGGTTATTAATTCCTAGTGCAGCTCTAAGAAAGAATCAATTAACTCATAAGCCTTATGGTTCTTCGCTAACATCCTGTGTATTACAATTGTGCAGTTGCCTCACAGGACAGATATTAGTCTTCAATCTGGGACACAGATTTCTGTGTACAGAACCAAATATAAGTGTTGGATTAAAAATGCTAGTAACCATGCAAATGTCATTATTCTTCCTGACTGTTAATCAAATTATTCCATAGATCTCAATAAGAAACTCAGTCTTCTGTTATGGTCTTTAGTTTGCCTATAATTTAAAGACATAAAACTGAGCCAGGGATAATCTGACCATTTCAAAAAGATTTTTTTTTTTAGATTGTTTCAAGGGGTTGGAGTGGGAGCTGCCTCAGTGAGGGAGCAACAGAGGAGCAGGTAGAGGTTAATTCCAGGCGGAAAAGTAGAAAGAAAAACACTCAACACATTGGGAGGGAGAGCAGGAATGGGAATTAAGGAGGACAGAAGAAAGAGAATGAGAGAGAATAGACACGGGAGGTGAGAAAGAGCTTTCGGGGCAATCTGGGAGACGAGTTTGGGGGATGCAAGAAAAGCCGAAATCTGTAAATGAATGAAAAGATTTGAAAAGGAATTGGTCAGTCTTAGGAGTAAGAACCTAGTTTAAGGCAAGAGTAAGAGGTCATAGTAATCAAGTCCGTAGTTCTCTTAACTGTCCACAGCCACCATCCACAACAGGAGGCTTGCAAATCTGCATCTGATGAAGAATGACATCAGTAAATAAGAAAAAGCATTAAGGAGTGTTTATTGAGGAATTAAACTTAAGAAACTTTGACTTAAACCTCTTGCCTGAGGACGTTATGACTCTCACAAAGAGACACGTTAACCAGGGAATCTACAGAGGTGGGGATGGGGTGGAGGAGGGGTACAGGAAGACAAAGGGGAGCAAGAGAGGGAGGTTAACTCTTGTATTTACTGTATAGTTGTTTTAGGATCTGATGTCATGGAGAATTATGCGTTGGAACAGCAGAGATGAGGCAGACCTTGGTTACTATTATTCCTCTTGAACTTTTGTTAAAAACTCCACATAGCCATCTGCTTACATGTGAAACGGTGGTTTCAGGTGGCCTGCAAATTTCAGATCTGAAACCTCTATTATTCCTTTCTATTATCTCTTTAAATCTCGGGTGGCGTGGTAGCGCAATGGTTGGCATTGATGGCTCGCAGCTCTGGGGCCCTGGGATCTGTTTCAGACCCGGGGTGGTATCTCTGTTCTTTCTGTGTTCTGTGTGGGCTTCCACCAGATACTCTTATTTCTTCCAGCATTCCCAAAACATACTGGCAGGTTAGTGGGCTTCTGGGAAAGTTGGGCCTTGGTGTGAATGAGTATAGTGCTGTACGTGTCTGTGTCTGCGATAGACTGGTGTTCTGTCCAGAAGGTATCTTGCCATGCTCCCTTTGCTTGGATAAGCTCTACCTCCCCTGCAACCATACATTGGATAAGGCACTTAGAAGATGGATAGATGCATATTTCAGTCTCCTAAATTTGTACATTACGTTTTTCCTTTTACCATGGTGTTCAAGGGAAAGTTTCTGCAGGTTTTTCCTCCTGGCAGCTGTCAGGGTGTATAACGTTGCCCTAGGCTAGGCCTGTTAGCCCTTCATTTGCTCGTCTATGGACAGCATGTTGCTCCATTGTTCTTTTTGTTTTGGACACTCAATCTGTATATACCTATGCACATTTTGCACATATTTAATTGTTTTTACAGTGACTATGAGCATATTCTGCACGCATCTATGTATTTATTTTTATTTATTTATTTTATATTTATTTTGTATTGCTGTACGTATTTTAATTTTTCGTCTGTTCTGATGTCTGTTTTTTTTTTTGGTTGTCTTGGACTGGACTGCTGTAACACATCAATTTCCCTTAAGTCTTATCTATCTATCTAAGCCAACTGGGAAGAAAATTCTGAAGTTCTTTGCCAGAGGATTCAACAACAATATCCTACCTGACAGCTGAAGCCACAACCCTCTCATCTTGAGCCCTAGCAACCACTACATGCTGCTGCCTGTTTTAGCGAATTAAGACACTTTTTAAAGTTATAAAAATCAATATTAATGTGTAAACTAGTATTGTTGTTGCAGCAAGTAAGCAGGTATTTTAGTGCTAAATAATAACAATGAAATAATAGGAGATTTAAGTACTGCTATTATAGAGTTCATGCATTAACATTAGGGTTTTTAAAATTCAAATAATTAATTTTAGTTGTATATTTTTATTTCATAACTTCCAATCCTAACAATATCTACCTCTATTTTGTGTAAAGACCAACTGAATTGAAATTACAATCAAGGTAATCAAGCTTTCAGTTATTTTTACTTACGTAGTGAAATTTTACTATAAGAACATGAAACCAGAAACTTGACAGAATCCCTAATTTATGCTATTATTGCTCATAAAAACAGCTAAATAGTAAACATAAAAACATTAATGATAAATATTACTTAAAATGTAATCAAAGTCCTGATTAAATGTTTATCTGTGGCTTTACATTGCTCTTACTGAAATATATACAAGTGTGTGCTACAGTATATACTCTCACAAATGTATACTGTATGATGTAGCTAAAGAAATCCTTCAAAATAAGTAGCAATACACAAAAACGTCTTCAGCACATATGTTAATTAAATAGAACATATCACAAATTCTAGATTGTCCTTTTAATTTAACTATAAGCTAAACAGAACTCTTACGACTATCAAATAACCCTATCAATTAACAATACTGGTGATAAAACTAAAATATCATCCATGCTTTTCATATTTTCTTTGCAATATAATTGAAGCAATGCTCTTAGGCCACCTCAGGCAGTAATAATTAGTTCTTATTGATAATCATTAAAATAGCTCATTTTTCTCACTCAGTGTCTGTTTGCATTAAAACACACATGGAGCAGATGCATCAGAGCTTGAATCAGACAAAGGCATGCAAGTTTGATTTTGAAAAGATGAGCACTTCAGCTTCCAATATATTAATCAAGCTTGCTTTGTAGCTGCCTACAATTTATACTGTAGTTGTGTTTTCCTATTCACTGAAAAAATGTTGCACACCTATAAGAGAATCAGAGAGTCTGCTGTCTGCAACTCTTGCAGAGACTCTGTAAAACTGTTAGTGAGCAAGTCAAACTGCGCGTTTCGAAGAAGAAGACAGCTGAGAAACATCTCGTGAAGTTTGCTTGTCTACTTTTCTCTGCCGCAGTCGGTGCAGAGGACATCGTCGCGGTGAGTGAGGAATCCCCGTCCCACCAGAGACACAGAGCACTTCATGCAGCTGAAGCACTCACTGTGCCACTGGCGCTCCTCAAAGGAAATGTACTTCACTCCTGCAAGGCCTGATAGGAAGAAAAATGGGTTAGCGCTAATTAAACATTCTTAAAGAACACTTTATATAACCTGTCATTCCCTCGACTGCAATGTCTGCTCATGTTCCTTAGCTGCTATTCTAGTACTGCAGCAATGAAAATAAAGCCCTTCGGGAACAATCTCGGCACCAGATTAAGGGAGCAGAAACACAGAGGCAAACTTCAGTGAAAGATTCCACCCATTCATGCATAAACAGCTCAGCGATGACCTCTATCATGTCATGAATGTTTTCCTGATAATTCAGTGCACTTACTTGTAATGGGCTTTGTGCATCCAGCACATTTCTTAGCGTACAGATTGCTGAAGCAGTCCAGACAGTAGGGGAATTGATCTCTGGAGGTGAAGCGCTGCCCTGCCAGCTGCTTCTTACACCCAATGCACAAGAAGCACTCCCGATGCCAGGGCTTGTCGTTGTAAGTCACTCCGCCTGTTGTTATAGCCTTCCAAAACAAGACCAACACCTTCAGGAGGGGCGCGGTGCAGGCTTCTTTTCTGTCACTTCTCAGTTCATTTTCAATAACAGCTGCTTAATCTGTGCTGGCTCATGATCCTAACCTGGCAGTCAGGGGTTACAGTGCGCCCATCAAAGAGCACACTCACACTCAAGCATAGCAAGAACATGCAAACTCCACACTGACAGAACCAGATCTGAACCCAGGAACCTGGTGCTGTGAAAGGACTGCAGTGCCATGTGGCCTGGATTTGAATATCCAGTATTTATTTCATTTTTCCAACTTGCAGGGTTAAAAACTCTGTGACATGATTAAACACTATGGATAAAAACAGTGCACACTATCTAGTATATACTGTATTTATTTGGTAGAGGATGATCTTAACTGTACTTAACTAAGTCTTATTTTTCAGTGTTTCCCAGCCCATCAGACAGCAATAATGATAAAAAAGGGAATCAATGCTGTGCATCTTGCAGTATGATTCATAGATAACTGTACTTTAACAACTTATTTATTAGCAAGAAGTAACATCAATATACTGTAGGTACTGTAATGATTTATTTTGTTTTATGACCATAGATTAAGTGAGAAAGTCAAAAGCTGAGAGAGTTGTGTGTGGGGGGGATTAGTTTGCTAGGGAAACCTCCCCAGTAGTGAGAATATTTCTTTCTGAGATTGATTCAGAAAAAATCCAGACTAAGGAAACATTCCTTTCAATACAGCAGGAGCTGCTGAATGCTGTTCTATTCCATTTTTTGTTATTGTAAGCATCTGTTTTAGTTTTTACTTTCATCCAAAGGAAACCTTGAGTATTATAAGAGCAAAATAATATTGATTAATAGTAGTCAATTTTAAAAGCAAAGCAACATAATCCATTCATTCCATTTCTAACCATGTCTTCTCATTCGGGATCACGGGGGGAGCTGTAGTTCAGCCAATGGAGCAACAGGCACAAGGCAGGGTACACCCTGGACAGGACACCACACAGACACGGACATGCACACACACACCAGGGCCAATCTTCCCAGAAGACAATTAACACACCATATATTTTGGACAGGGGGAGGAAACCCAAACAAACATGGGGAGAGCATCCAAACACTACATAGACACCACTCCCAGAAGTGGGATTGAGCTCGTGGCCCCATCACTGCAATGTAACAGCGCTAACCACTGCACCACTGTGCTGCCCTTAGAGCAATATAATAATAATTGTTTTTTTACGTTATGCTCACCTTTTTACAAGAGCTGCAATGGTAAGCAAACTGTTTCTCAAAACAGGGGACACAAAAGTAGCCGTTATCTTTAGGGATAAAGGACTTGGTCCCTATGGGTTGTTGGCAACGATGGCACAGGAAGCAGGTCTCATGCCAGTGGTTCCCCTTGTACTCCATTTTGCGAGAACCTGTCGAGAAGGAGGAACCAAGTTAGACTTCATACCATGTGCGTATGAGACATGCAAGCTTAAAGCAGAATGAGTCTTCATGTTTCTTTTGATTTCTGAGGTACTGCTATGGTATAAAGCTTCACTGTAGTACTGCAGATAATGCTATGGTAATGCGACACAGTCCTGGGGGGTTGCTGAACAACATGTATGAATTTAGTTGTTCATCTTTGACTCATCCAGTGAGATTGAAGTTCTTCTTATTTACTGTACCAGGCATGATGGTTTTCTTGCAGGTGAAGCACTTGGAGGAGTACTCATTGGAATAGCACTCTGTGCAGAGAAGAAGGTCATCTTTCACAGCAAAGGGCTTCTCCACCAGAGACCGGCTACACTTGGCACACTTGAAGCACTGCTCATGCCAGTGACGATCCTTGTACGAAAGATCCTTTGACACACGAAACGAGAAAGGATAACCACTTTAAATTCAAAGAAAGTGGTAAAGTTACTCTGAATCCCTGCTTGCTTGCTTTGTCAGGAAACTTGAGAGCTGTGGGCTCATGTCTCCAGTGTGGGTGCTGCGGTTGTGTTTTTGATAAAGACACTTCTCGCTCGGTAATGTCATAGAAACTGCAATAGGCTGTGGCCAATACTAGAAGGTAGAAGGCTTGTGAAGGAATTTTACAAATACATACACAGCACATTATATATTAAATCTTACTGCAGGTGATAAATGTGGCTGAAACATTTTTGAAACATAGTAAGATATACTTTCATGCAGTAATTACACTAGTTTACACTGTTACTTTCTTCGCATTTTAGCCAGGGAAAACCAAGCAGAATATTTTTTGTTGTGTCACATATATCCATTCATCCATTTTCTAATTGCTTTATCAGATCTACAGGGTCACGGGGAGCAACCTCCCAAGCATATCCCAGCAAACACCAGGTGTGAGGCTAGATACACCCTGGATGAGATGCCAGTCCATCAAAAGTTTCATATATATATGCATTATTTTATATTATTTCATTGTGCATTCATACATTTTACTTCATATATACTATGGCCCACCACAGTAACTCTTAAGAGAGGTTTAGAAATGTTCAAAGCTCCAGAGATGCTAATGCACAATTTGTACACCATTCATATTGAATTGCGTAGAAACCTACCTTATAGTTACATCCAATTGGCATCATACAGTCTTCACAGCAGTTGGAAAATAAATTCTCATAGCACTTGGTACAGTACTGGGTTTCATCTTTCAAAATATATTTTTTTCCCAGCAGTGAATCCTTGCAGTAATGACAGTCAAACCGTTCAGCTGACATTTTTGCAGTGAAGTAACTATCAACAAGAGAAAAAGGAATTATACAGTATGTTCATGAAGCATTCAAAACAATTTCATCAGCATCAACTGCAATAAAATCGCAAAAAATCATCAGGAACATTCCAAAACAGGGAGAACATACAAACTCCACACAGATAGATCCCCAGTCCAGAATTGAACCCAGGGCTTCAGTACTGCATGACAGCAATGTTAACCACTGCTCTACTGTGCCACCCTTGTTCCAGTGTTCATCTGTTCAAAAACATAAGAACTTTAGCATTTAGGTGTGAGAATATCCCAGATCTGACTAAAGGTCAGTGCTGTATAAGTTCCCACAGTGTTAATCCAGCCTTTAGTTTTACTTGGCTGGAATCACTGATGTGACTTTTGATGCTTCACATGGTCTTTGAGGACAGATGTAATTCCATTATTTTGATTTGGAGCCACTGGAATGAAATCAAACTAGTGTGAGTACTGTGTATAATAGATCCAGGAACACAAGGAAAGGAGGGGGACAAATTAAACAAGCTGCTCAGTTTACTATCTGTTTAGTTACTCTGCATGTTCCACATTCTCGTGGACAGTGAAAATTGAGCTGGAAACTGAATTTGCAATGCAACAGGGAAATGCAAAGCTTATAAACAAGAGGTATATTTATCCTCATAAAACATTCCTACAATATGTAATGACAGCCAAGAGCATTGCATACAACTCTTGTCGTCAAATCATTGTTGCTAAACTTAAATTATGCCTTTCCACTCTGATGACTCTTGTTCAGATCAATTTATCGAACGTTGCTATGGCTATCCATTTTTAGGTTAATGCCAAAACGTATCTAGAAATTCCTTTCCAACGTTCCCATTACAATCTACATTTTGATTAAAACACATTTTTAGCTTTCATTTTCTAGCTTTCCACAGCATATTTAATTCAATTTCTTATTTAATGATTTTTATTTTATAACCTACCTCAATTTTACAAAGTAGACATACTGAAAATCAGAACCTGTCTTGTAACTGAGACCAACTTAAGTAAGACAACAGGAATACAGTATGAAGTGTCATTCAGTGGATTAACAGAAAAATCTTCACAGTGAGCAAATTAAAGGACTAAATAAGACTTTAGCCATACTGAATAAAAATGTCATCAACCTTGCAATGTTTAAAATAGCAGTTATTTAAACAGGCCAAGTAAAAGAATAAAGACACACTTTTCCTTTGAATTAAATTTAAAACTTCAGTCAAATGTATAGGTCATTATAAAATCAAGAGGCTAAATTGGAAGGATACATCTTGTACGAGCCTTCTTTTGAGCATTTGGTATGTGCAGTGCAAAAATACTACTTGAAACAGAAGTCAGTGTGGAGTCAATATGGAGTATGAAACTATCAGGCAGTCAGTAAGGCAGGACGTAGATTATAGATTAAACGTAATGTATATTTATATAATAAACAAGAACTTTAGAACAGTTACAAATGACAGAAGGAATCTGGCTTATCTAGCCCATTTAGTACAATTGTTAGTAACTCATTGATCCAAGGACCTCTTGAGCTACAATATTTCTTGAAAAGAAGCAGGGTAGCTTGTTTCATACTCCCACAACCCACTGCATAAAGAGGTGACTTTGTTTTAAGTGCACTTGAACATAGTTTCCATGTGTGTCCTCCTGCTCATAAATACAGTGCTCAATCTGAAGACGTCTGCAGGGTTGACTTTCTGAATGTGTTTGAGGATTTAAATACTTGCATCAAGGCACCTCAACCTGATATGAGTGCCATCCAGTGCTCTTATCAATTGACACTGAAGTTTCTATTATTCACCTGATTCGATAGTTTTCTAGCAGGTAGAATATTTTGAGGAGTACTCATTTGAGTAGCAAACGAATAATCACCTCCTGAATGTACAATGCTATCCTATGGGAAATACTTTACTTTACTTATACAGTATATCAAATTCAGGTTCAATACTATATTGCCATAACAAACAGATCTCTTGAGAAGCTATAGATGGATAGATAATACTTTCTTAATCCCGTAGGGATTAATAAAGCTATGATACTGTATGATGTTTTACATGGTTTATCAACATGAATTATACTGTAAGAAAGGTGTTGAATCACATGAACCACATCTACCAGCAAAGTTTGCATAAGGCAGCTATGAATAAACACAAAACAAATAACTTAGTGTATATAAACAAAATAACGTCAAATAAAATAATAAAATAAATTATATTTTAATTATATTGCATATATTAGTTTTATTCACAAATATAAAAATGCTTACTGTACTAATTTACATGTCTAGCCTTCAATATAGTGAACAAAAGTTTTGCAGTGGAAGAGAAAAAGGATAAGATGAAGCACGTACCTTACGGAAGCTGATGTTGTTAACAATGTTGTGTGATGAAGGGTCTAGGTGTGAAATCAGCCATGGAAAAGATGAAGTCAAAGTGGGATTGAAGGGCATGAACATAAAAGATCATCTATAAATACTATCTCTCTCATTACCCTTAATCTCTGGGGAGAGGAACCATGCTCTCCTGCACAGTTCTGTACCTTTTAAGGGAGAAATTCACTTGGGCTGTACCCTGAAACCTCCCCTTGGCCAATAAATCCCATTTTCATCTTCTGATTATGGTGAAGGCATTTAAAATAAAAAAAAAACTAAATGGAATTAACTCCTTTTACAGGTTCTTCAAGATGAAGCTCTTTTCCATATACTGTAAAAGGTAATAGGCTTGATAAAATGTAAAAATGCTTTTGACAAAGAGGGTGAAAGCAAAGATCAACTATTGCACTTAATCTTAATTTTGCATTTTCTTATTTTTAAATAATATCCATTGATGAATTTCATGGAGAACAAATGCTTGCCTGTCAATGTTACATATGAATAAAAACTAAGACTGATTTGTTTTCACATTTTCTTATTGTGTGTATTAATTAATAGCATTTTATATTTTTTGCAATAAATGAATAGAATATAAAGACAATCACTAATTAAATCACTGTGAATCACTTCCTACACTATTGGGATACCCACATGAAACTTTCACATTTCCATTCCTCATCATCTGGAATAATAAATGACAATAGTGAAGTGCAAAAAGGTTTGCAATACATTAATATCAGAAAAAAATGAATACTTCAGCTTGTGTTTAATTTGTCACAGAGCTCTTCAGATCTCTGTTTTAGACTATCTGTACACCAGGACCCCCTTGTGACAAACGATTTAACGTGCAAATTGATAGTGAAAAACTCTCTTTAATATGGATGACAAACAAAATTGGAAAAGGACACGGAGGTTTGCAATTGGCAGCTCTACATAGATTGCTCATGTAGATTATTTCAGCATTGATTACAATGAGTATTTGAGACTGAGATCTACAATGAAGTTGGATGTGCCTTTAGAAAGTTCGAGCGCAGATGAGAATTGTTGAATTGTGAAGTTGCAAACCTGTTTCAAACTACCAGAATGCTCTCCGATGAATTTGAACCTGTGTCCAAACAAAAAAAGCCCAGAGCAGCAGGCAGGGTGTCAGTTTAAGCTCAAGTGTGGCTTTAGACTCTCAACAATGTTCTGGTGAAAAGCAGCACTGTGAAAAATAAGGCTCAGGATTTGCCAGGTTATTTAACAAGTGACGAGGACATGGACATGAATCTGCATAACAAAACCAAGGGGCTTCTTACTATTTGGACTACAGGACAATTTGAAATTCCCTATAGCTGATTAGGGCGAACCAGAATCTTGACTGCATGTCTTTGAAAGATCCCTGGTAGCCTTCTATACTATAGATCTAAAACAAAAACAGATTTGTAATTGAGTTTGAGCTATGTGGCCATTTAGCCGCATTGAGAGTTTTGGAAAAAGCTTAAGTTGCGACTTTAGTGCAGACCACTGTCAATGATTAATCTGAACAACTGACACATTTTACATTCTACTGTTGCATGCACAAACATTACTCGGTAATGGGGTAAAAATTGTTTCAGAAGATAGGAGGTGTGCTCCTGGCATCTGCTTAATTCTATTAATTTTATAGAGGAGGCTATAAAAGTGTTCCTTGATTCTGGTATAATCATGCACGTGAACGTTTTTCATAATTAAAAGGTGTTTATATTGGGGTTTTATGAAACTTATACCATTAATATAAAATGTTACATTATCTCTATATCTTCTATATCTATATTCTGACCAATAGGCTGCACAGTAAATGTTACCCATGTTATCCATATGTAACATGCTAGGATTTCATCTCAGTGGCACCCTAGATTCTACTACAATATACATACTGTACATCTTATATCTCTTATATTCTGTGACCATAACATTAACTGAAGTCAAAGGTTTGAGGTTTTTCTTACCGTAACCGTGACCAGATGCTTTCTCTAACCTGAAACACGTGCTCATTTAACACTGGTCGGTACTGTGATTTTTCAGGCTCCGAGTGGACACGGAGCCATTCCCTAGACAGTGGCAGAGAACTCTACACTCTTGTGTTTTCAAGGGGATGACATCACTTCTGAAATGTTCGTCTCACTGAGCCCTGTTACAGTATGAGCTAGTGGGAAATCATACTGTCAGATACTGCAGAATGATAAAATGCTATTCACAGGTATTCTGTATTTAATTTCAACCAGCTGGTGAATGAAGGTATAAAGCTTTTTAATGTCTCAGTAAAAGGGCATTATCAAATTTATAATAGTCAGTGCTAATTATGTTCCTTCCCAGACCACTCTTTAAGTTTTAGCTATCTAGGGTTCACAATCATCTTTGATTTCTCTATTTAAAAGGAAAGCTATGCAAACAGCTGGACAGTTGCTATCCTTATACTATCCCCCTCTCTGACTTGCATTGTTAATTGTTGGCTTAATCTCCCAATTACAAAATCAGTAACAGTCTTCAGTATTGAACATGTTGGAGACAGCTGAGGAAAAACACTTGCCAACAACAGCCCAGCCAAACATTGCTCTACCTTGGCTCTACAATATTTTTTTAGCCATCCTTTCCTCGTACAGTAGGTGCCTTTTTGGCGTTGTGAATTGACAATTGTTACAGTATGGTATTTACAGTATATTCTAATTTTTATGTGTGGTGTTTTGCATAAAATAAGTTTAGGAATAGAGCATTAGACACTGAGTGTAACTGGAAACCGTGACCCCCCACTTACAATGTGCTGTTACCACCATGTTAAAGCTGATAAATACATACTTTAGTATTCGTTTTGTATTGTTAATATAATAACAGCAACAACAGGCTCCGTGCCGCTATGATCTTCACTGGGAGCAAGATGGTGCCAATGAGGAAGGCTGCCATCCCGCGAGCTCCAATTCGTTTCTGTCTATTTCTCTACTTTACGTTGTTTTCTGTACTGCTAACTGTACATACTGTACTGCTTGTTCGGTGATCAGCTCTGACCAACAAACGCTATTAGACATAGGATCGACTATCAGCACAACCAGGCTTGCACCAAAAATAACGATGGATTACCTGGACTTTGGAGTCTTACCTGTACCTGTTCCTGGAGGAAAGCGGCAACGGCGCAGGAAGAGAAGTAAGCGGGCAGGTGTCTTGGTTAGACTGAGACAACGCAGCAATCGCCCTCCACTTCCGAACATACTTCTTGCTAATGTTCAATCACTTGACAACAAGCTGGACGAGCTGAGAGCCAGGCTTGCTTTTCAAAGTGACATTAAAAACTTCAATGTGCTAGCGTTTACCAGAACCTGACTTGATTCATCTATTCCAGAGACTGCTATCCCCCCGAAAGGCTTTTCTGTCCACAGTCAGGACAGGACAGTGGATTCAGGAAAGATCAGGGATGGAGGGGTGTGCATCATGGTTAATAACTCCTGGTGTACGGCTGTGGAGACTATTTCACCCCTGACAATAAAATGTCGCCCGTTCTATCTACCGAGAGAATTTACATTGGTGGTCCTCACAGCAGTGTATATTCCGCTGCAGGCAAACACCACAGGAGCTCTGGAGGAACTACACGAACACCTTAGCAGACATGAGAACTCATACCCCGTGGGTGCATTCATCACAGTGGGGGACTTCAATGGCACGAACCTGAAGAAAATCATCCCAAACCTGCATCAACATATAAATTGCCTGATGCGCTGAACAAACACGTTGGACAATGTTTACGCTCCCTTCCGAGATATAACAAAGCCTTCCCCCGACCTCCTTTCGGCAAATCTGATCACACCTCCATCCTGCTACTCCCTGTCTATAGGTAGAAACTCAAGCAGGAGAAGCCTGCGACAAGGACAATTCAGCGCTGGTCAGAGGAATCGGACTCTATTCTAAGTCACTGCTTTGCCACCACTGACTGGCGGATTTTTCGTGAAGCTGCCGGAAAGGACATTAACCTGTATGCGGACTATGCTACTAGCTACGGAATTTTGGGAATTGCCCGGAGGTTGTTTTCCCCGGGTTTCTTTTTCACACGTACCTAAATCAAAAACTGTGGGTAAATGGCGAAGTACGAGCTAAACTCAGAGCTAGAACATCCACCTTCAACTCTGGAGACAAGGACAAGTACAGAAAATCCAGATCCGTTCTCAGAAAAGCCATCAAAAAAGCTAAATATACTGTAACTACAGAGTAAAACTGGAATCACACTATCATGACGATCGGGACACTTGGAATATGTGGAACTGAATCCGCACCATTACAGACTAGACCATTACAGAAAGCGAAACCCAGCAACACGACACACACCGCCTTTCCCCCCAATCAACTCAATTCATTTTACGCACGGTTCGAAGTCCATAACACAAAACCAGCTCAGAAAATGCCAGTAAACCAAGGGGGAACACCCACTGGCTGTCTCAAGAGCTGACGTGTACAAAAGTCTTTAAAATGACCAATCACGCAAAGCTCCTGGCCCCGATGCTATCCCTGGTCGCGTCCTGAAGGCCTGCGCAGATGAACAGATCATGGACATATTTAATCTCTCCCTCACTAAAATGCACAGTCCCCTCTTGCTTCAAGAAAACCACCATCATCCCGATCCCCAAGAACTGCCTAAATGGCTACTGCTCCGTTGCACTCACATCCATCATCATGAAGTGCTTCGAGCGGCTGATCAAAGCACACATCACCTCCTTACTGCCTGACACCTTGGACCCGCTGCAATTTGCATATCGACAGAACAGATCAACCACTGCTCTTCACACTACCCTTTCACACCTAGATAAGAAAGGAACATATGTGAGAATGTTGTTTGTTGATTCCAGCTCAGCATTCAACACCATTGTACCCTCAAGGTTTATCACCAAGCTCCAGGACCTACTGTAGGACTAAGCTCCCCTCTCTGCAATTGTATCCTGGACTTTCTGATGGGCCGACCACAGGTAGTGAGAGTAGGCACAAGTACATCCTCCACTCTGACTCTGAACTTAGGTGCCCC